TTAAATGACTCTAATTTTAGTTATTCATACAAATTATTAAAAGAATGAGTTAATTTCTTAGTCTAATCAGAAATGATAATTGCAATAGATTATTTGTATTCTGTGAATTTAATGATTGAATTCAAGAAATCATTAATTTATTATGAATTTAATTGTTCCAATCTTTCCTTTAATAAAGAATATTTATTTCTGATTCCACTTCTTAATTTAGAAAATGATTGATTTACACTTTCTACATACGTATTAAGATTATCAATCAATTTATCGCACTCATTATTCTGATTAACAATGTATTCTATCACTGTTTTGAATTTCTCAACATCATCAATATGATTATGATGAAATCTTTTCTTAATGCACTCAAAGCAGTTTAATCTAAATTCTGTACAATATTAATTATAGCAAATCATATCTATGTCATCTTAATGACCATCTTGCTAGCATTTGAGCTTCAAATTCAATTATTAAATCAATTTTAATACAAATCTTATTTATACTCATTAAAAATATATATTTATATCTCTTATTCTATTTGAAAACAAATTAACAAAATTTTATTTACAAGGAACTAGGATATTTAAAAAAGAATGATTTAAATCTGTCAAGGGAATATTTCCATCTTTTTGTAAAATTAAGAAATTATTTAGTTACTTTCTCTCACAAAATAATTAAGTTCTTAATTCAATCAAAAAAATATTTACATATTTCTTTATCTACAAATAATTCATTCCAAAAAAGATTTAGGTTAAGGAAAGATTAAAAATTTAGAATTTTTGTTTGAGGCAGATAAACTCTCTAAATTCCAAGATGGTTTTAGTCAAAGTTATTAAAGCATATTGACTCTAAATAATAACAATTCAATAAAGGAATTAAATAACTCTTTGGCATAAATAGTTAAGAAATTCGCAATATACAATTTTTTTAACTGTTGACTATCTAGATTTAGTGATATCTCACATATCCGAAAATACTAATTTCTCAATTACAAATAGAACTTATTGATATCTTCTCCATCCTTAAGTTGTTTTATAATCAATAAATCAAGCAAATAATGATATACCTTTAATCTAAATCGATCCAAGTTGATCAAACAGGATATCAAATTGTAATTACTATGAAAAAGGCTGTTTAGCTAAAACTAATAATTTACACCGAACACTGGATGAATTAAACACTTAATTAGAGCATTTTATATAAAAATTTAAGAAAATTTAAACTTTAATTTTTATTGTATATTATTTGATAATTAATATTTATATCTTAATCATTCTTCTTCATTTGGTAAAACCTGTTCAATAAATTTTAACTTTTTGCACCTTTAAACACTTTTTTCCAATGATTCTTCCGCTTTTCTATTGTGTTACTTAGGTCTAAATGATTTTTAATTGAATAGCTTACTAATTTTCTAATACTTAGGATGCAAAAATATTTTTTGACTAATTGGAGGGGATTTCAGCTTCTTAGTTATTTAAAAAGTATTATTTTTCAAATAAAGATCCGGATGTTCTTGAGCTGAATGGAATACTCTCAAAATTCTAATCTGAGTTGTCATTTACAAGCTGCAACTAATACTCTTTATAATTAATAATTATTTTTGCTTGTGGTATTAGAATTGTTTAATCATAAGAAAACTCTTGGTCACAAGTGTTTTTTATTCCTATCTATTTTTAGGCATTTTATTGTAAAATGGTATTCTATTGAAAATTGGAATATATTATATGTCAGCTATCTCTTGAATTAAGATTACAATACTGGAAGAAAATAAGGTAAAAATATGATCATTTATTGTTTTTGATTGAATTTTAATTACTTTGCAAAATACACTTTTATTTATGACAACCATTAATACTAAGAGAATTTATGAATAATTTACAGTATTAAATTCATAAAGATTTTGGAATTAACAAAAAAAACATAAGTTAAAAATGATTAATTTCTACATTCTTAAATATTTTTTTTCTCTATAATCAAGAAAGACATTTAAAACTTAGAAAAAGAAATTTTAAAGTTTATATGAGAACCAAAATTTTGAATTTTATACTTTTGTTGTTTAAAAAAGAATTATGAGTTAAAAAAAAAGATTTTTGTAATTGATCAAATTGAAATTTTCATAATTTAATTTCAATTTTAAAATGTTTAAAAAAATTCTTTAATTTGAGATTCTAGATTTATCAGCAACCTTTTCTATAAAATATTTGTAATTTTTAAAGTTAAATATGCTGCCAAATCTCTCAATTACTGCTAATTACTCGATTTTAAAAAATAAAACAATTGGTTCATCAAAAAAAGTCTAGATGAGGGAAAAATTTAATTTTTTCAATTGGGAACAATATTTATAATTTTAGATATTTATTTATCTCCACAGATGATTGCCTGACTTCTATTGTTCAGCTG